CATAATGTAACTTAGCCAGTTATTTATTTGGGAATAAAAATTAAAGGTTCATAGGTATGTTATAAGGGCTAAATGAAATAAAATACAAAAGTTATTATTTCATTGAAATAAGTAATACCTTTTTCTAAAACATAATTGCTATGATTATCCTTCCCAGTGTTGAGAATTAATTACCACCAAAAGAAAATTAAAGTAAATAAAAATTAAGAAAATTAGTCTTCTTAACATATATTAAGTGCCACAGGATTTAGAATAATTTCATATATGTTATGCAATTATTTCTAAGAAATATTCTTGAAATTTCAACTCCATTTTGAACACAGAAAACTGAAGCTTAAAAAATTAATTAACTCATCCAGAGTCATACATCCATTAAATGGCTCATCTGTATTTTTAATTCATGTTTTTCTTACTGCAATGCCCATATATTTTGTGTGATAGTAATTTACCCTAGAATGCTATAACTAAGGAATTAATAGTATGTTAATAATCTTAACATAATAATAATAGCAATAATTTTTGTTGATTTACTTTCCCTTCGTTGTTTAAATTATAGATCACTAACAAATGAACTGAAAGTGTGAGGTTATGAATTGATATTCACCACAAACCTCCAAAGATATAAATGTTACTTTTTCTGGACTTAAATGTGATTTATTAATTAAATAATTAAATTAATTAAATTAATAATTAAATTAAATGTGATTTATTATCTCTTTTTCCCTTTGTGTTGTCTCTGTGAACAGTGGTATATATGCTGAGAATTGAACCTGCCTATCCCTATTGAAATAAAGAAATGTAAATTAATCAGCTTTCTTCAAGGAAATAGTCCTCTAAAATAATCATGAAAAAAAAAGTATCTAATGAAACAATCATTCCAACCACTTGACTGGTTCTCCTGAGAAGTCTTTGCTTCATTCAAGATGAGACAAATTCTTAAAGGATCCCAGTGTCATGGTCCAAAGTTCAGAATGACTGAGCAGTGTCCAAGATAATATTAAGCCAAACTAAATGTTACAAACAACATGTAATTATACAACTGCCCTTTTCTTACTGCATTAACCTAAACCCTAACACACCCTTTAAACTCACAAAGTACAAAGAAATAATGATATGATGAATGAAGCACATTGCTTTTCTGGTATGATTTGTCAAAGTTTTCATTAGATCTGCAATGAAGTTTAACTGAAGAAGAGAGAATTAGTAGATACAGTAAAAGCTGTACCAACTATACCTTCAAAGTCATTGCATTACTAAGAGATTTTTCCTCCCAGTGTACAAAAGCATTTTTAAAAACAACAACAAAGCACACCAGAAATAAAATGGAACCAATCTAAGATGCCTATCTCAGTCTCTCAAAGGAATATCATTCATTCCTTTAAAAAAAAGTGTTCATTAATATGGGTCTCTTTTTCAAGTTGGGTATCAAAGAAGTCATACATGTATCCACAGTTTCATTGTCAATGTTAGCATGATAATAGGTGTTAAGGAAGGGCAGGATATAGGAATATTTTCAGAATGACATTTTGAAGATGATTTGCAGTCATCTTATTAACAAATTAGAAATAATATTGCTAAATTTAATTTTGAACACCTGAAAGAGTCTGTCTCAAGGATTCTCAGAAAACAAGTAAGAATTAATTTTTATGAAATGAGTGGAAGGAAATACAAAGTTTAGCCACCTAAGCCACATTCTTCCGGGGGGAAATATGGACTTGGGTTCAGAAATAAAAGCTGAAAACATGAGTTAAATGCTTGGAGATATTGTTCATATTCTGCATGAATACATCCTTGTGGTGGTTTAAATCTCTTGGAATCTTATGTACCCTGTTAAACACTGAAATGTGTTTCTCTTAAGGAATGAATGCTGATAAATTTTTATCAGGCTTATTTGATGTTGGTAAATGAATAAAATCCATTGCATTTTCATAATTTTTTTTTTTACATACAAAGTTTCATATACCACTTCCAATTTTATGCTATTAAATTGTCTCTTGCTAGAGTTTGCCTAAACCTGTTTTCTCTGGTCCTATAAGACTGGCTATGTTAGGGTCCATTACCAGTAATTCTCATATGAATTTTTCTAATGTCTACTAATATCTTTCTTCACAGCTCTTTATACATTCTGTCCCAAGTTTAGTCAGCAGCAAAACATGTAAATCATGATATTATAGTTCATCAAATAATTAAAAATATGAGGAAACTTAAGAGGAAAATTAATATGTAATGAAGTTGAAATAGGCTTAAAAATACAGTGCAATGACACATAGTTCATCATATAATAGTAATAATATAATTAAAAAAAACCTGACTCTTCAATGTCTGTTAAGTTATTGCATACATTTCAATCTTGAGATTGAAATTAAATTTGTCATTTTATGAGAATGTGTTTTGTGACTTCAAAGTATTATGAAAAGCTAGTGCTTTCAATGAAAGGCAAATCCTGATGAAGGAAGAGTGATGTTACTGAGCAGGAGTAGAATTCATTAAATGAATGAATTGTAAGGAAATTAAGGATATTAATTTTTAAATAATATTTTACAATTTTTTAAAATTATATATAAAAAATTTAGCTTCCTTTACATGTTCTTTGTTATGAATTTACTCAATACAGGGTATTTAACTTAAGCAGATAATGCATCTTGAAAAGTAGGTAAGTAGGAAAACACGTCTTATAAATAAAGATAGAACTGACATGAAATATAGTCTAGAATTTGGCTTAAAATGGAGACTTGCACTTACTGGCAGTATGAAAATTCAACAACAAACAGCATTAATTACTTACTCAGATAAGTGTTTACCTTAAATCTACTCTCACTATACTAGGCACTGGATCATGTTGCCATAGCTTTGAAGGTAAGACGTGGTCCTACACAGACCAGAGAGGAGTTCACAAGACATTCTGTAGTATGTGAGGTGGGTTCAAAAGGATGAATATAAACTCCTACAGAATTCATAGCATGAGTATTACATCTGTTCGGGAATAAGGAAGAAGGTGATTTGAAAATCTTTCAACTATTCTACCCTCTATGCTAGTCACATACATATATTTTATTTATTACAACCTTCACAGTCTTTCTCAGAAAGGTTACTAATATTAATGAGGAGCAGAGAAATGAAGAGTTCACTGGTAGCAATGCTGATGTCTTGGCAAATATCTAATATGCCTCAAATGTGGTGATCAAATCCTAGCTGAAGATGAGAGAAGTGGATTGTTTGTGGAAAGTAGGGGAGAAGTGATGAGTAGAGAAGGCAGATACACTGTGTTGGGAGAAGAGATCATGTACCCAAAGTGGAAGAATAAGGATGAGAGTCACTTTCCCAGAATGTCTGGTGGGTACTCTAGTCAGGCGATTCTACTCTATTTTCATTGCTGTTGCTGTTATTGTTATTATACGACTCTCTTGGTGCTAAATTTATGCACTACTACTTATCTTAGATGTAAGTTTTTACATAGCACAGCATCTAAATCCCAAATGTTTTCAGCTCAGTGGTTAGGTAATGTTTTCTCCATTGAATAAAGCCTTATATGGGTTTTATTAAATGATAAGCATTTTTCAAAATGCTTCACATGCATTTGCTCACTTAATGGTCAAAATAACTTTATGAGATAGACTTATATTAGTGTGTATGTATAGATGGGGCATGAAGGGACTGAGTGACTTTCAGATGTAGTAAGTAAATTGGATTAAAACCTACATATCCTCAGTCTGCTGTAATATCATTTAAGTTTTACCCCCCAAAAAAGAAAAATTAAAACTCATTATTTCCAAAACATATGCAAATAAACATATTATTAACATTTGCTTTCTTGAAGGACAATTATCTTACCTATTAATCATTAGTATAATAACAACATATAAGTAATATTTTAAATATAAAGGGAAATAGGTTGTATGAGAATAAAGTCCATAATGATGACACATAGTGATGTTGTAATGTTATAAAATGTTGCCAGGGATTAAGATGATATCAACCCTAAGCTTACATTATCGTCTACCTCATTTCCTCCTCTGTCTCTAAAACCTGCAGTTGCCAGTGGCAGTGGCTTTAGCATTTCTGACTTCCAGTGAGGTAGTAAGAGTTGATAAAACTGAAAGACTTCCTTGGTGGTCCAGTGGTTAAGACTTTGCCTTCCAATGCAGGGGGTGCTGGTTGGATTACTGATGGGGAATCTAGGGTCCCACATGCATCATGGCCAAAAAAACCTCAACAGAAAAAAAGAAATTCTAACAAATTCAATCAAGATTTTAAAAATAGTTCACATATAAAAATCTTAAAAAAAGGAAAAAGCTGGGTGCTAAGAAAACTTGATTTGCTGTTTTGTTGTTGTTTAGTCACTAAGTTGTGTGCAACTCCTTTGCGTCCATGTGGACTGAGCATGCCAGGCTCCTCTGTCCATTCCCAGGTGGGAATCCTGGAGTGGGTTGCCATTTCCTTCTCCAGGGATCTTTCCAACTCAAGGATCAAACCTGCTTCTCCTGATTCTCCTATATCGCAGGCAGATAGTTTATCTCTGAGCCACCAGAGAAGCCAAGGACAAAATAGTCACTTTTTTTATTTAAAAGTTGCAATATCTTCTCCATTTTAAAGATTCTCAATATAATTAAGTTTTTAAGTTACACTGGAGGAAAACTGTAGGCATTGGAATATTCTCACAAAGGCAATTCTCATGAAACCTGGTGGGTATGTTTTTGAAAGTTCACAGTACCATTTGGTGTTAGAAAAAGTGTAGGAACATTTTCTTGCCCTACAAGCTTTGTATATTACAGTTTTAAACTTTCCTTAATCAAAGAGTGTTTTACTTATTAAACAGAGGAAACTTAAGGATCAATGTCATTATCAACTTGCTTTAAATTTCCCCTGAAGGTGAAATGACATACTAATTTCATCAAATTCTAGGTCTACACTAGGATTTGGTAATCCTCTCTTCTAGTACATTCCTTGTGCTTTCTTTTGTAGGTCTCGTGGGAGGAGAAAAACAAACAAGCAACTGAAGAATGAGGAACCATACAGAAACAATAGTTTATCCTCCTGGGACTGTCAGATGACCCACAACTTCAGGTTGTGATCGTTGTCTTTCTGCTCATCACCTACATGCTCAGCATCACTGGGAACCTGACCATTATCACCCTGACCCTGCTGGATGCCCACTGCCAAACCCCCATGTATTTCTTCCTCAAAAATTTCTCCATCTTAGAAGTATCATTCACCAAAAAAAAAAAAAAAAAAAAAGAAGTATCATTCAGAGCTGTCAGTATACCCAAGTTCCTGGCCACCATTATTACAGGAGATAAAACCATTTCTTTTAATGATTGCATTGCTCAGTTAATTTTTTTTTTTTCCATTCTCTTGGGAGTCACTGAGTTTTACCTTCTGGCTGCCATGTCCTATGACTGTTACATTGCCATCTGCAAACCCTTGCACTACATGACCATCATGAATCATAGGGTCTGCACACTGCTTGTCTTCTCTTCCTGGCTAGTTTCATTCTTAATCATATTCCCTGCACTCATGTTGCTCTTAAACCTTGATTACTGTAGGTCTAATATTATTGACCATTTTACCTGTGATTATTTTCCTTTACTTCACCTGTCTTGTTCAGACACAAACTTCCTCGAAATGATGGGATTTTCCTGTGCTGTGTTTACTCTAATGTTCACTTTAGAATTAATAATTCTGTCCTATACATACATCATCAGAACAATTTTAAGAATTCCTTCTACTAGTCAGAGGACAAAGGCCTTTTCCACATGTTCTTCCCACATGGTTGTCATCTCCATCTCTTATGGCAGCTGCATTTTTATGTATATTAAACCCTCAGCATGGGACAGGGTGTCTTTGAGCAAGGGGGTGGCTGTGCTGAACACCTCAGTAGCCCCCATGGTGAACCCCTTCATTTACAGCCTACAGAATCAGCAAGTCAAGCAAGCCTTCCTGGATCTGGATATGGCAAGAAAGCCTATTTTTCAGAAGCAAATTAAATGATGTGCTATAATAAATTAGAGACATTTTGCAGGGCAACTTTAAAAACTATATAATCAAGAATTTTAATAACTTATTCAAATCACAATGGCTTCCCTGTCAACCTTGTTTATTCTATTTATTCCTAGGAGTTTAAAATCATATTTGTTTAAATATTTCTCATTCAATTTAAACAACTTTTCTTATGTCTTTCTGGCTCTCATTCTTCTGAACATTTTGTTAGTTGCAACTTCTTAAATTAAAAATTGTTTAATATAAATTCTGTTTTGAGTTTGGATGTGATATTTAGTTTACTCAGCACAGGAAATATAATCTTATGAATTTCATTTACAGTATATTTGACAGAAACCCTTTTTACCATTTTATAGTTTTTTAAAAGTTTACTTTTTTATTATTTATTTTTTGACTGCACTGAATCTTCATTGCTGCTCGTGGGCTTTCTCTAGTTGAGGCAAGATGGAGCTACTCTGTTTCAGTGCATGGGTTTCTTTTTGCAGTAGCTTCTCTTATTGTGGAGCCAGGGCTCTAGGCAAGCAGACTTCCTTAATTGCGGTTCATGGCATCAGTAGCTGCAGCTGGTGGGCTCTAGAGTGCTGGCTCAGTAGTTGTGTCAGAGGGACCTAGCTGCTTCATGGTATATGGGATCTTCCTGTCCCAGGGATTTTACTTGTGTCTCCTGATTGACAGATGGATTCTTAGCCACTAGAGCTTCAGGGAAGTCCCTTCACTAGTTATCTGGGTAAATGTTTTTAAATGTTGTATAGTTTATTAAAAAATGTGAATATTTTCATTTAAAAACAGAGAGATTATTTATGGCACACTTTAATAAGGTATGTCCTAATAATTTCTTCACCACTTTTATGGCAGAAAGTGAAGAAGAACTAAAGAGCCTCTTGATGAAAGTGAAAGAGGAGAGTGACAAAGTTGGCTTAAAGCTCAACATTCAGAAAACAAAGATCATGGCAACTGGTCCTATCACTTCATGGCAAATAGATGGTGAAACAGTGCCTGACTTTATTTTTGGGGGCTCCAAAATCACTCCAGATGGTGACTGCAGTCATGAAATTAAAAGACACTTGCTCCTTGGAAGAAAAGTTATGACCAACCTAGACAGCATATTAAAAAACAGAGACATTACTTGGTCAACAAAAGCCTGTCTAGTCAAGGCTATGGTTTTTCCAGTAGTCATGTATGGATGTGAGAGTTGGAATATAAAGAAAGCTAAACACTGAAGAATTAAAGCTTTTGAACTGTGGTGTTGGAGAAGACTCTTCAGAGTCCCTTGAACTGCAGGAGATCCAACCAGTCCATCCTAAAGGAAATCAGTCCTGAATGTTCACTGAAGGACTGATGCTGAAGCTGAAACTCCAATACTTTGGCCCCCTGATGCAAAGAGCTGACTCATTTGAAAAGACCCTGATACTGGGAAAGATTGAAGGTGAGAGGAGAAGCGGATGACAGAGGATGAGATGGTTGGATGGCATCACCGACTCAATGGACATGAGTTTGAGTAATCTCTGGGAGTTGGTGATGGACAGGGAGGCCTGGCGTGCTGCAGTCCATGGGGTTGTAAAAAGTCAGACACAACTGAGAAAGTGAACTGAACTGAATAATTTCTTCATTAATTAAAAACATAGACTTTTAACAATATGTACTTTTGTAAATATAATGATAGATATATCACTATTTATTTCCAAATCCCATAGTAATTCAATAGATGTCAGCAGACACATACATAGGTAGTAGAAAATGGTGAAGAAATAGCCATTTTAGATATGTAGGATTAAGTTCACTTTCGCCAATTCCACAGAAAGTAAGCTCCATTTTCTGATCTGGCTGAAATATATACACAGCTCCTTCTGAAGTTCAGGACTAGTTTGAAACAGGGCATATATCTAAATTATTTAATCCCTAAAATATTTATTTGTTTATTTATAACTTAAATTATTTTATAACAAAATCACTTAAGTTTCGTAGAAGCTAAAATCTTGATAACAAAACAAAATCTCCCCTTTTTATAGAAAATTAGGATTTCATGTGCTAAAATACTTTTCCACTTATTAAGGCCTTAAAACATGCCTAAAGTATTTGGAAAGGTGAGTGTATGTGTGTAGGTGAAATGATAACAGATACCAAAAAAACCCTCATTTATATAAACCACATTTTAGTAATAGAAAATAAAGACCTAATTAGTGGTACAACATTCTTAATAATCATTAAGAGATATACACACTTGAGAGATATATCACAGGTTTTCTTTTTTTAAAAAAAGGGAGAGGTGAGGATGGGAGTGATGGAAAATTGAAGGGGATTCAAATGTTAAAGGGAAGTTAATAGCGGGTTCTCCATTTCTTTCTATCCTCTCTCAAATACTATTGTATTAAATAAGGTGAATATCTGACAGACTTAAGGTTTCTATAACGTCTGAGCATATATTTCCCCATCAGTGACTCAGGTGTAAGTTCAGGTAAGCCAGGTATGTATAACTTACTGTAGAAAGGAAAATGAATTTATAAAGCATATAACACAATTAGCTATCAATAAATTATAATAATGATTATTAACATTATCCTGCATATCTAACCATTACAGATATATACAGATTATACTTTTGAGGTGATAAGAACTCTTAATATGATATTTATCCACTTAATAATTTAAAAACATAATACAGTGTTAACTATCACAAACTTTATGTCAATTGATTAGCAATATCAACATTTCCCTCTCCCTATACCCCCTGTTAAGCACCATTCCACTATCTGAATCTATGAGTTTGAGAATTTGAGGTTTATCACCTAAGTGAATTCGTGTGGTTTTTAACATTTTATGACTGGCTTATTATACTTAGCATAAGGCTCTCACACTTCATCCATTCTGTTCTATATATTGGGATATTGTTCCTTTTTTAGGGCTGAATAATAGTCCAATACTATTCCATTAAGTGCATTTACCATATTTTCTGTGTCCATTCATCCTTCCCTAGACATGTAGGTTGTTTCCATGTCTTAACAATTGTGAATACTGCTGCAGGGAACATGAAAATGCTACCACTTAGATACCCTGATTTCAATTATTTTAAATACATATCTAGAAATGGGGTTGCAAGATAACATGGTTGTTCTATTTTTAATTTTTGAAGAAAATCTGTACTGTTTCTCATAGTGGCTGTACAATGTGCATTCCCACCGACAGTGTATCTGGATTCCAAATTCTCCACACCGTCATCAACACTTGTCTTTTATCATCTTGATAATAGCCATCCTGATAGGTGTGAGGTGATTTAATATTTTCCTTTTGATCTTCCTTTCTCTGAACATTAGTGGCATTAAGCATCTAGCATATATCTGTTGGCCATTTATCTCCTTATACTTGTTTGTCTTCTTTGGAAAAATGTATACTTGAGTCTTCAGGCCTTTTATTAATTAAGCTATTAGGTTTTGGGGGTTTGTCCTGGTTTTGTTCTACTGAGTTCTAAGACTTTCATACATTAACCCCTTATCAGAAACAGTGTTTGTAATATTCTTTTCTATTCTATAGGTTGTTTCTTCACTCTACTCTTTGTCGATTCTTTCTTTGGTGGTGAAAGTGCTTTTTATTTTGATGTAACCCCACTGTTCTATCTACTTTTGTTGCCTATGCTCCTGGGGTCATATCCATTATATCATTGCCCAGTCCAATATCATGCAGCTTTTCCCCTATGATTTCGTCTAAAGTGTTTTAAAACTTTATATCTTATGTTTAAGCTTTAATCTGTTTTCAGTTGATTTTGTGTACAGTGAAAGGTAAGGGTAGAATTTCCTTCTTTTGCTTGTAGATGCCCAGTTTTCCCATATCTACTCTTTGAAAAGACTGTCTTTTCCCCTCCATGGGTTTTTGGCACCCTTTTCAAAGATCATTTGACTGTATGTACCTGAGTGCTTTCTGGGCTCCCCATGCTATGTAATTGATTAAGATGGCTATTGTTATGCTAGTACTCTGTCAATTTCATTATCATAGCTTTCAATATATTTTGAAATCTGGAAGCCAGCTTTAGTTTTTATTCTTAAGATTTATTTGACTATTCATGGTCTTTTTGATTAATTATAAATTTTAGAATATATTTTTTTCTGTTTCTGTAAAACAATAATGGCATTGTTGTTTGTTTGACAGGACTGCACTGAATCTATCGATTTTGTTGGGGAGCAGGACATATACATAAGTTTCCTAATCCATGAGTACTGAATGTTTTCCCATGTGTTTATGTCTTTAGTTTCATCAAAGTTTTGCATTTTTCAGTGTATGTATTTTCTACCTCTTTAGTTAAGTTTATTCCTAAGTATCTTATTCCTTTTGGTACTATTTAAACTTTCATTTTTTACTTAATTTCTTTTTCAGATAGCTTATTAATAGTATAAAAATGCAACTTAAATTTTTAATGTTGATTCTATGTTCTGAAACTTTAAAACTTTTTAAAAAAATGTGTAGAGTTTTCTATTATATATCATGTCACCTGGTTTATTGATTGATCAGTTTTGTCCAATTATCCTGACTAGTACTTTCTGTACTATATTGAATATTAGGGCCTCCTTGCTTGTTTCTAATTTTAGAAAAAAGAAACTTTCAGTTTTTAACTTTTGAGTACAGTGTTTCATCCTTTTGATGAGGGTGAAAAAGGAGAGTGAAAAAGCTGGCTTAAAACTCAACATGCCAAAAGCTAACAGCATGGCATCCAGTACCATCACTTCATGGCAAATAGATGGGGAAAAATGTAGAAACAGTGACAGATTTTATTTTCCCGGACTTCAAAATTTTTTTGGCTGTATATGGTGACTGCAGTCATGAAAATAAGACACTTGTTCCTTGGAAGAAAAGCTATGACAAACTCAATGTATTAAAAAGCAGAGACATCACTTTGCCAACTAAGGTCTGTATAGTCTAAGCTACAGTCTTTCCAGTAGTCATGTATGGATGTGAGAGTTGGATCATAAAGACTGAGCACCAAAAAATTGGTGACTTCGAAC